ACACTCCTTACATGGGTTACCCAGAGGCCTGGAACAACACAACATTGGGAAATTTTTCTTGTTATTCCACCTGAGGTTTTACCTTCTTTTGGTTTTCACAACCTCAGCTTTAAAAGCTCTGTGACTGGTGATTACAGTTCTACTACACTTGTCTTGCACTGGTTTTGCAATAATTTGTTCCATTATTCAACTGAAGATGGAAATTAAAGTAACACACTGGTAACTCATATTAATCAACACAACTTCCTAATTCTACAAAAGGCCACAAGAAGCTTTCCTTAAACATCAGGAAAGCAAAAAGGTATTCAGAAATTTTGCAACGAAGAGTATACACCAAACCCTTCTTTCAGTGGCTAGGGTGCCTAGGGTCCATGAGCAAGAGCACCAGGAAATCTGTTTCAAGTCCTTTCCTGGATGTATATTGTACACACATGCTCTTGGCTGTCAAAGAGCTTTCCATACAGACCTCACATGCATGTACTCAGAAAACCCCAACCTAAACAAAATACTGCTCTGCCTACACTTTTCCTACACAACAAGAGGCCAGTCTATACATAGACAATAGCTGTTTTATTTGCTGTACTGCTGCAAAGTGCTCAGAGATGGGAAGGATGTGCCAGTCTTGCAGACACCTTGTTGGGTGCTTCAAGCAGTGTGGTATGGTATGTACTCCAGCTGGTGGCTTTTAATTTGCTGTCCAGGACCTGCAGATTAATTTTTAAGGATCTCAAATGGTTGAAAGAATATAAGATTAACATCCAAGCATTTAAATGTGCTTCCACAGAAAAACCATAGGAATCTGTGTATGTTGTACTTTGATTAAGTAAAAACTTTCTGCTATTAGCTTATTAAATCTTAAACTTATCAAATCCATGCATAGACGTGGTGCTTAGAGACTTGGGAAGTTGTGAATGTTCCATCACTGGAGGTATTGAAGGCCCGGCTGGACAGAGCCTTGGGTGACATGGTTTAGTGTGAAGTGTTCCTGCTCATGGCAGGGGGGGTTGGAACTAGATCATCTTAAGGTCCTTTCCAACCCTAACTATTCTATGATTCTATGGCTTAGGCGTGGATATGGCAGTGTTTGATGTATTGTTGGACTCGATGATCTTAAAGCTCTTTTCCAACCTAAATGATTCTATGAGAAAAGTTGGAAAAAAAACTGTTCTCAAAAGGCAATGTGGGAGTGTTCCCTATCTCTATACCAAATCTATGAAAAAAGCCTGAAGGAAGATGAGCATGTGTTGCTCTGCAGGCTCATCTTTTCTGCTCACCTGCCTCTACTTCCTATGGGAACTGTCTGTCCAAACTCAGTAAGCAGCAAGGAAGTTCAGCCTGAATCTTACCAAGACCCCAAGCAATATCCAAGGACATAATGTATGTGTAGAAAACAGGGACTAAGAGTGAAAAATCCCACTGTACAGTCATCAGTGGACAGGCAGTGTCAAGAGTTCAGTTCATTTCTATGAATTGGTTCTTAGGAGACTTGCCAAATAACACGCAAGGCAATGATTTCACTGCTGAAGTGGTCATTCCTTCAGTGTAAAGTAATTAACCAAATCTGAGCCCTGTTCCTGCAAAGCACCCAAGCTTGCCTCTTCCTGACTTAATTTGGTCTTTTATTTTGTTATTCCTGGTACATAGTATAAAATATATCGTGTTTCCTAGAAGAATAAAGGAAGTGACATACTTTGCTCGTCAAAGGTGACAAGGCAGACATAATTAAAATTCAGATGTTTTGAAGATACTGCATCTGATGCTTTTTTTTTGATTCCTCAAATCAAACTTAACTCTAAAGTCATTTGGAACTTTAAAATGAGCACAGATTTCCCAGTTACATTATTACAGTTTTAAAAATAGTCCCCTACATCAGATGCAAAACAATTTATCTGCAGTATTAGTCTTCATTAGTTATATTACTAAACCACTCAGGAGGCTTAACTGTGAACAGCAATCACCATGAGAAATTCTCTGTACAAGTAACATAGACAATCATCTTTTGAACTGTTTTTGACATTTACAGAATTTGAGCCAGATTCATCCAAGAAGCAACACAAAAGAAATGAGTGAAATGACATGCTGGGTCAATTTAGTCCTCTCCCTCAAATCTTCAGTCAATACTCATCTATTTTCTTAGATGCATTTCCCATTTTCCCTTTTTAAACACATTCCGTGTCATATATCATACACCACCCCTTAAAATTTGGATATAGCCTAAAATCTCCTTTTACATTTTTTAACCATCCAGCACTCCCTCTTGGTCTTTACAGTGATACCAACTTTTTCCAAAGTAGCAAAAATGAAGCAAGGCTTTAGTCCCAGAAAAGTTTGCTGTTAGGTATTGAATGGATTTCCACCCCCCTGGCAAAGGAGAAGGCCTCAGCTTCCATGTCCTTTTTATTGTTGGTTTGTGCTGTGATTTCTATACCTCCACAAAGCCAGAATGTCCTTTCAGTGTTCCCAGTAGACTGACAATTGTAAACCATATGTATCTTCCTGAGTCAGCTTCAGAGGACCAGCAGCCTGCCACCCTGGCTTATAGAAGACCTAACTGCTGAACTACCAAAATTGCTTAACTAGGCTTTATTTTAAAAAATAACTCAGTCTTTATTATTTCTGGGTGGTCAGTATCAATTTATCATCTCCAAATAACACACCATGGCCAACTTCTGTTATTCATTTGATGTTTCATATTATCAGGGATGCTTTCTTGCATCTGAAGTGTTAGATATGTTTATAGAAGTGGTGTACCACTAAATTAGTGAAGTCAGGTACCAAAACAGAGGATTTTCTGCATCAAAGGCTATCCAACACCTCTAGACTGTTCCTAAGTTCCCAGTCATGCCAGTATTACATTGGCAACATTGCTGTTATTGCCCACTTTTACTTTTTATTTAGACTTACTTTTAGGATGCTAGACGTCAGGACAATTTTATCAGCCACAAAAGAAAGAAAAAATTGACTGTGTACATCTTGTGAGATGTCTTCACAGCTACGGTTTGTTAAAAGTTGAAATAGATCTTGCTAGTATCACAGTCCTTCCTAACCACGAGGACCTCCACCATTTCTTCATTATCAGGAGCAACAGGACAGAAGAGTACTGAAGCCAGTAACCCTGCTTCCCCTTAAAACATAGGATTCATTTTTCTGGGTTTAACTTTAGGTAGCTTACCCAGGAACCAAGATCTGTGCATTTTGCAGCTAACCTCCAACTATTTATTGCATACTGGTATACTAATGGGGTTTTCCAAAGGACTTTCTTTTCACAATATTTCCAGTGACCCTACAATTAAATCTTCTACTTTCAAGTACTTTTTAAGGGAGAAAATGGGTATACCTGCACAACTGAGCTGCAGTTCCTCCTGTGAAGCTCCCTTATATTGCCTCCAATACTCTATGAAATTGGCTGCAGTTCCTGTTAATTAAGTCTGCAGACACTTGACGGAGAGCTCTCTGAAATGGGAATATTTGAAAACCGGGGTTTGTGACCATCACATTTTTTCTGCTGATTTAATTTCTGCTGACAAAGTACTGAAGGAACAAAGAGATCTGTTTTAAATAATCGGAGTATATGACTTGGGAACATGATGCAGCTGCTTTAGTAATAAGAAAAAATAACTACTTTAAAATGCTTTATCTTTAGCATGGAAAAGCATTGCAGAAAGGTAGTGGGAAAAGAAAGCTACTTGCCACCAGCAAAGGTTACTTAAAACTCATGGTGTGAAGGAAAGACGATGATGGCAGTATTAAAAGAGGGATTTGATTTGGCAACCTTGATCATTGCTCTGTTGTCACTTCAACACTCTCTGTTGTCAGTTCATCACCAATGATATATGCAGACAAGCTGGACCAACAAGCTCTGAAATGCTCCTGCTGGCAGCTCTCAGGAGAGGAGCTCTTCTTAGAGCAGCTAATGTCTGTGTATGCCTTACTAAGTGCAAAGCACAGAGAGCCCGAAGTGGACTGGTGGATGCAGCTAGTGCTGGGGAGGGGGGCACAGAACAAGAGGTGCCAGAGAATGGGAGGAGATGGACACAGGGAGTGTGGCTGAGGGGAGACGGCACAAGAGTGAGCCATTGCAGTGGAAGTGTCCAGTGCTTGGGAGGCAGATGGGTGAGGAGAGACACAGGTCTTCAACTCACATAAACTATCCACCAACTTCAGCGCATCAGCTCACCAGACCACTTTAAACCACGTGGAAACCTGTACCCAAATACTCTTCCATGCGTGACATAGGAGGGTGGATTTACAAGCAACAATAAGGCCATGATGCACACCATGAGCAGCTCCTCCAGCATCTGTGCCAAAAAAAAGTACTCTGTCTGTCATGCAAAGCTGTGCTGCAACTCAACACGGAATAGCAAATAATAATGATATATTCTTCAAAGAACTGGTATGAAATTCTACAGGTAGTCCCTTTCTGTTTGCTACAGTAACTAGTGAAAAAGGGAATCCCGATTCTACCATGAGATAGAAGATTTCTTCTGTGGTTATTGTCTCTATACAGATAAAACTAGTAACTGGAAATAGCAATGTCTTTCCAACAGCTTTCTTCACTGTGTGGGCAGCAGCACAGCACACTGCAATGTGTACTGTAGTTAACAATGCTACTGGTTTTACTCTGAAAGAATAATGTCAAATTAAGGGGTTGATCCTGCAAACACTTAAAACTGCCCTCACCTTCAGGAATTCAGTCATCCCTTTGTTTCCTTTAGTGTGTCAACTTGTATGCCCGTGCACAGGACCTACATTTTATAGCGAGCGGCTAAGGTTGAGCCACAATCGTACACTGTAAAAAGAGAGAAGCTCATGAACAACCACAAAGCCATCACAACTCAGTGTTAAATGAACAAATATTTCATGTGATGTTACACATCAAAGGTGTTAGAAACTGAAATTCATTATCACAAGAATGATGGGATTTCCCCAAACTTTAATTTTCTAAGCTGTGCGAAGCAGACACTGTAAAGACAGATCCAAACTAGCAATGAATTTAATCATTTTCTTTCTTTAATGCAAAGACAGGCAAAGGGAAAATTGTAAAGTTATTAGCGATGCAGGTGTCTTCTGATTTCTGTGTTCTTATGGCTTCTGTTCTTGTGTTCTGAATTAAAAAAAAAAAGATACAGTTATCAGCAGCAAGAACAGAATAGTTTCCTTAAAGGATATTTGTGTCAAACATAGCTTATTGAGGAAGTTTATAGAAGCATCATGTCCCGGTACCTAATCCACCAGAACAGGTCAATAAAGCAATGCTAGAGAAAAGGAAACTTTTCTAGAAAATAAACTGTTTGGAAAGCTAATTCATTTTTTTTTTAAACTACTGGATTCCTTCTTTTTTTTTTGGAGCACCAGGGATTAACGTGGATATGATTGAAGCTAAAAGTTGTGCATTGGCCTTTCAGTTCTTTCAGGCCATCACTGAGTGCTGGAAAAGGGAAGTTTGGCTTTTCAACAGTGGGAGGTGGACAGCTGTACACCAAGCCAACATTGCCCTTCCGGAATATCAAAATACCAAGAGCCAAATACCCAATTGTTTTGATACCACTGATTGTCCAGTGTGTGCAATTCTTGCCTGACAGTTGCTTTTCCCTCTGCAGCCCATCCTGACTGAGCCACTGCTGCTGTCACACACCTTCTGCATGGCCTCTCCCTGCTGTTTTGTTATCATTCAGGTCCCATCACTGCCGTTGTTTCTGATTAATCCTGAGGATGACTCAGAATAGTTGGCATAATGCAATATCTTTTTGCTGCTACTTCACATGAAATCACTTGTGTTGCATACAAGGAGGGTAAACAGAGTACCTCTCCCTTTTAAAGGTAGAAAATGAGAATCTGGGGAGCCATTAAACTGTCAGTCTGGAAAGAGACTAGTGCAAATTATTAAACAATCCGCTTATAAACACCAGGAGAGCAATAAAGGGATTAAAAAAAAAAGCCAGAGTGGATGTGTCAAGAACACGTTGTACCAAGCCCAAACTAATTTCCCTCTTTGGCAGGATTACTGGGAAAGGAGAAGGTAGTAAATGTTGGATATCTTGATTTCGGTCATGAGAAACTAACAATGTATGGTTTCCAGGAGCATCTGCCTGCAAAATCATGTCCCAACAAGTTGTCCTCAGACTGATAGCATGTGTTGTCATTGAGCTCCTGGAGTGGTCCATCCTGCTCAATTGTACTCAATATTTCCATTAATTGTGTTAATAATGAAAAGTAAAATTTCAGGAATACGCAGGTGGCCTCAATTAAGTTTGCACCCACCACGGAGGGCAGGACATGCGTGTGATGCCTGGTAAAGCAGAGACCACAGATAAACCAGAACCACCTGTGGCCAGGCATGCGGTAGGAAACGTGATGCTGATGGGGAAGGGAATGCTCTCCTCTCCCATGCTCATAGAGCTAAGCCAGATCAATGATGCATTGTCAATTATATACCCCTATGAATATAGGTATATGTTACTGTGTAAATTAGAGTTAGCTGTCAATCTAACCTAATTTGAGATTAATTAGTGACCTAGTCTGCCTTTGACTAGCTTCTTCCATATCCTCTGAAAAGGAAACAACTACTGAAATTAAAAATAAAAAAAAACAAGATATCTTTCATGGGCTGCCACTAAGATCTTATTTAGGTAAGACAATGTGCCCCCAGCCCTGTCCAATGCTATTATTTATTTTAGAAAAGTTAAGAAACAAATATGTGACTTTATGTTTAAAGAAAGCAATGGCAGCTGGTAACATTGACAGGCAAGCTCTGTTTTTCTGCTATTTACTGTTATAAGTGGCATTGATAAGAGAGCTAGAGGGAAGATACACATTCCTCTCCATCTGCTTTATTATAGCACTATAAGGCACAGAATGAAAGGTCTCCATAGAATCAAGTGGAGAAAATAATAACTAGGTGTGAGATAAGGACAAAATCTAACTTGCACTTTTTCCATCTCAAACTCATCCCACCATACCTTCCAGAAAGGTGGTGTCAGATGTGGAAACCTTCTGCCAGGAGAATTTGATCCTTTTCCATGGTGTCATGGAGCTTTCAGATTTCCTTCCTATTTTAGGGATTTATTAAAAACAAAGTCAGTCAGACAGATGAGTCAGTGCATGGGAAGTCTACAGCAGTGGGTACCCCTTTTCTAAGAGGGGTAATATCTGTCTCCTCACCAGGGAAGCTTGTCCCAGTCTCCTAGAACTCAGAGCAATTCAAATCCCGGTTAAAAGGCTTTGTTAGTGTACAGGAGGGGAAGGCTCATCACTGATGGCTATAACAGCTATCTCAGGTGAGATAGTGGAACAGCACCACAAGCAAGCAGACTGAATTCCTCCTCCAAGCAGTGCCCCCAAAGGTCACCTTTAGTCACAGAAAGAAAAATATCATTCCCCTCATTTCACAGTTACAGAATAATAAAATTACCATGAAGCACTGGAAAACATGAGAGATCATCTAGCACTGAAGCAGGGAGCTATCCACAGGTAACCCACAGTCAGCACAAGGTATCACTGGGACTGTTCTCTGTGCTGTTTCATGACGCACTCTAAAAGGGGAGTAGCATTGGTTTCCCAAAAAAGACCACTCCCCATTTAACAGTCCTGAAGGCTGTGTTTCATAAGTAATCTCTTGGAAGGTAATGGAATGTCTTGTGTTAATATTACAACCACATTTTTGCTTTATATATATTCTCCCCATGTTTCTGATAACAAATTAAGGCACTGGAATGGGAAAAATTCAAACAACTCCATTTGCTTTCACTGCTTACTCTGCTAGCCCCCAGATTTAGACAAGTCAGTAGCAGACTTTCTTAACATCAGTATCAATTTTAATTTCATGTTCTTGTTCTCTCACCCAATGTCACATTGTTTTCAGAAAGGATCAACGACAGCCAGGCCAAACAAGCAGTCGACAATGAAGATGTTTCTGTTCCCTGTCACATTTCAAACTTACTCTCACTCACCACAAAACTCACAAAGGAGGATTAGAGGAAAGAAAAATTAGCAGCCACTTCCCGATCGTTTGTTAACAATCATTCCCTACCATCAGTTCAGTTTCTTACCCTCATCATATTTTGATTAAGAGTATATTGGAAACAAAAGGAATCCTCCAGAAATCCTCCTCTCTGCCCTCATCTCAGCTACAACAAAGGGAGCAACCATCTCCTGCCTGTGCTGGCATGGAAAAAATGCAAAACGCATCACTCATGGAGGGCGGCTAAACACCCAGGTTTAGGTTACTGCTTTATTAAAAGTCTCTTAATGACCACTAGATGGGGGGAGAAACTTACTGTCCCTGAGACCCTGGAAAATGTGTGAGCAGTGCAGCGTGTTCTCACTCCAAACCCACAGTTTTTAACCTGAGCTTTTCCTTCCCTCAGCTGCTGATGAGTGGTAGGGCCATGAACGAGATACGACTGGAGACAAAGAAATCGTTCAGTATGACCTGCAAGTTTCATTTATGGTCTGTAGCTTTACTGAACTCTGTTGTAATCCATGAGATATCGGACCTTAAATTTGTTGATGGTGCAAGGATGAGTTTAATATCACACATAGGAAATGTTGTCCCAAAGTAATTTTTAGGGGAAAGTAAGTTCCTCTTTGGTTACTAAATAGAACATACTTAAAGAAAGAATTGGGTTTGCAACTTGAGAGTCCCAGGAGAGAAGGATCAAATTCAGAAACTTTAAGAAAGATCACTGAAAGACATAAGATATGAATCATCCCTCCAGTTATTTCAGACATGTGTATATTACCTATTTCCAAAAATTTAGTCATCTGTGTTCTCACTAGGTAAGTACTTATAGCTGTGTCTGGAGTCTTTGGAGGAGTAGATCTCCCTGAGGAAGTAGCAGTTATTCTATGCTGATAACACCATAGCCAGACCCCCAACTCCAGCAGTTTTATGAATTGGATCCCACCAGTTGGCATGAATCTGGGACTATGTGTCTACATATTGCCATTGCAGAGTAATGTGGACCCTAGCAGTGTTAGCTCTAGACAGCAATACAGGCAACATCAGGCTTCAAAATTTTCCAGTGAAGATATACAGGCCGCGACTTGACGAAGGTGCTCTGCACTGCAGTGACTAGTCTCTACTAACACGCAGCTGGCTAGTTTAAAGCTAGATTGGGTCTGTCTCTGTCACTCTGCATCACAGATATGGCTTCAACATAAACATGTCCTCAGAAACCCAGACTACTGGTTTTTACTTCAAAGACAGAAACAGAAGTTCTCCTTCTCACTTTCAGTCTTAGCTGAGAACTACAACAGCGCCCACAAGCAACTGTGGTTACTATAAAAAAATCAGCCTGTTAGTCACCTTTCCGTAACAAATACCTTGAAAGCACTTGGCTTCAGTTACTGTAAGTTTCTCACTTCATGCCTGGTAGTAAACAACATCATCCTTCAAACAAGATGTGAAGGTTGCCATGGAGCTCCAAAATCCTTTTGGTCCAAAAGAAGTTAACATTTTAACAATAACGTTTTGATGAGGATATTGTGTGTGGTCTTTTTCCTCCACATTCCCTGATAGAGGGATCATTACCTATGACCAAATAAGAGATGTACTTGGCAGCTACAGCATTCATCTGCCAAGTTCAGTGTAATGTACTTCCAAGAGGAACATTTGGCTCTCTAATTTTGTTCCTTGGCAATGCAGCTGTTGTCTATATGGCTGGTTACCCCTCTGCTGGCAGCTGTAAAACTGCATTGGGGCATGCTTTGGACGCAGATTGTTTCTTTATGATGTCTGGATATCCTTTCCTTCATCTCACACTTGCCTACACCTAGGAACGATTTTGCTTTGCAAATGAGTGCAAGGTGTAGTCCTTCAAATTATGCCTCACTGCAAATGGAAGCAGCCAGGGAAGCAGTGCAGCATGGGACAATTTACACACTCACTAGGATTAGCAGCAAGTGTTAGTGACCACAGGAAGACTACTTGCGGTTAACAGGCACACATAATATTATACGCTGTCCCCACAAAATATCAGAGAGAAAGGAACTCCTGTCTCAACCGCAAAGCAGCTTCGCTGAGATCTTGAGTGGATCTGAGACAGAAATTAGCAAGCTTTCAAGAGAATTCAAATGGAAGATATATCTGTTCAACAATAGTAAAAATACACGATGCACATTTGAGGTCACCACCATTAAATCCACACAGGGAGAATGTAGCATTAACAACTGCAGCACTTCTTAAACACACACTGACCACTGGCACACTGTGTCACCTAACTGTCCAGTGCATCCATAGCTTTTCAGAAACCATCAAAGTTTTTCTCCAAACACAGAGGATAAACATCACAGAGCAATGGCCTGGGGCTAAAAGAATCAGGGGTTTTCATTTATGCTGGAGGAGAAATTACTAGGTGGGAGAACCAAGTCATGAGCCAAGAACAGGTGAAAATATGGATAGTACCATGGATACCTTAGAACTACCTTCAGCAGGTAGATGGGAGAAATGAGCTATGCAAGGGATGCGTGGAACAAATTTGCTTAATGCTATACAGTATCCACTGCTGGACAGAGGTTCATACTCCACAGTGCTGAGCCACTAGATAGTACTGAATGATGCTTTTGTGTTGTATAATGTACCCTTCCACACCAAAGGGGAAACAGATGAAGGAGGTATTTGCAAACTGGGAAACAGCAAAAGAGAGAAGAGATTGTAAACTATTGAAGAGTTCTTGATTATAGCAACCAGATCATAGCAGGAATCTGGGGTAAAGTTGTGAGACTCACTGCGAATGAAGATGTATTTTCTGAGAGAGCATTTCAAGTTTGTCAAGGAATGATAAAAGGATGTCCTCCTTTCCAGACAGAGCATACACTGGGTGAACATTGCCATCAAACTGCATTTGGGTAAAGGAACCTGAGACAAAACACCACATGAAAACAAAAGTCCCCCAAAACAAGAGAATACTCAGATTTGCACATACTGTGGCCATTATCACAGTGTCTGGCAAAAAATAAAAAAATTAAAAAAAAAGGTAATTTAGATAATTTGAGGTGTCCAATCATTTCTATGCACAGTGTCCTTGTACCAGAAGTGGGCAGAGGAGGAGCAAAAGGATCACAAGAGCAGTGGGAGCAGTTTTCCATAGAAACAACGAAAAACATCAGAAGATGAAAAAAAATCTGCCTCAGATAACAAAAGAAACAACCCTTCATTTTAATTTAGTTTACAGGTGACAAGGGCATGTCCCTGCAGGAACAGTGACATTAGGGGTGTTAAAAGCCTCCTGCTACCTGCCAGCTCCACAGAGAGTAGGAGTTTTTGATACACCATGATAACAGAGGTTGGTAGCTCAGGGTGACACAAATCCTGCTTTTAAACTGTAATGTTTCCACTTTAATTCTTCATGTTTTTTTTCTGTCAAACAGTTGGAGCGTTCCCCAGGATTCAAACCGCAGCTGGCCCCTGACACTCAGTATAACATTCTGAGCAGACAAACCCACAATTTTCTGTCAGGTACAGCCGAATGTTTGTTACATCTACCTGGTGAGTTGCTATGAAAACTAGTCTCAAATTAATAAAAACCTTAGCAAAAAAAATGGCAAAGGGTCAGACCCAGCTCCACATTACAGAGAGGGAGGAGAGGCTGGAATATCACCTGCTCAACCGCACTCTTATCCAGAAAATGCCTTTGCAGCTGGATACACAGGTTAACTGTGTGAAGAGAAAGAGAAGGAGAAGCAAATAGCTTGTTAGGATTTGAAAGCCCAAGTCTTCCCCTGCATCATAAAAAAAACAGCTGTGTGTATCCACAGTGGGAAACAACAGCTGTTAGCGGTTGCCTATAGTGAGAGGTAACCTCATGGTTATGTGAAATTGCTTGCCTGATCAGATCTGTCCTGCTCAGGTGTAAAAGTGTTTTCTATTCTCTGGAAGGAAAGAGAAGAGGTGGGATGCTGTTGTGCAACTGAGAAGATCTCATAGCTATATTGTCATAATCTCTTGGTTTTCGAGCCCATGTTGAATCCATTCTTTTCAAAACCCCAAACTTGCCAACCTGTTGGTTCCTAAACTGATTTCTGTCGGCTGGGAACCAAGGGACTTGCCAGACAAAGAAATTCAGTTGCAGGGAAGTATCCAGAATTAGATTTTGCCCCTTGGAGCAGAATGGCTGCAGCTGATGTCAGCTGTGTGATGCATGCTGAAAGAGAAAATACATAGCGTAGAGATAAACTTAAAAATTTCCCTTCTGTTTCACTGTAAGGCACAAATAACTCTTACTTCCTTTGCATTAACGCAGCTCAAAAGTAGATATTAAGATGATGCATGTTCTGCAACTTGTATTTTTAACCACAGTGGTTTAAAATGCATGTTGATTCAGGCTGGTTGGGAGGAAAGAAACTCTTTACAATGAGGGTGGTAAAATACTAGAACAGGTTGCCCAGAGAGGTGGTGGATGCACCATCCCTGGAGAGATTCAAGACCAGGCTGGATGTGGTTCTGGGCAACCTGATCTAGCTGAAGTTGTTTCTGCTCATTGCAGGGAGGTTGGACTAGATGACCTTTGAAGGTTCCTTCCAACTCAAATTATTCTATGAGTCTATGATTCAAGCACAGCCAACAGGGACAGGCAACAACAGGAGAATGAAAGAGCTAAACTAAGGAAAAGCCCGTTTGTCATCAGATTTTCACTGCTTGTGTCTTTACAGTCCTTGATACAGCTGGGCAGATGGGTGGAATAGACTTTTCCAAGTGACATTTCCAAGCAAACATCTCTGCTGTTATGGAGAAACATGGATGAGTCCCAGCCTGAGCCCATGGGTTGTCTACCACGCAGTGAAGTGGCACTGGCAGGACAGTTTTAGCACTGTACTGCAGAGTGACAGATCCCACAGCACAAAAATCCTATAAACAGCTAATCTGGCCCTGATTTTGCTTTCAGAGCAACCTGCTGTAAGCACAGCACATGACTCAAAGGTGTTTAACTTAACAGAAGATAACCACGGATGTATGAGCCAAGGGCACAGGCTGCTATTTCTAGCAACAACACTACTTCACACGTCAACTGGACACTTTCTCTTCTGGTTCCCCTAATGTCATTTGCACCTTTAGATTGTATATGCTGTGAGCCTGGGGCTGCTCCCTGTACTTTTGTATAATTAATGCTTAACGAAACATGAGCACGTTTCCACTGCAGTCTTCAAAGCACTGCTGAATGCAAATTCTACATGCCAGCACAGAGCAATAGGAGCAGGGGACACAGTAACAGGAGGACAAGTAAATTAAGATATTACTATGCAAACGTTGAATGTGAACAGAAACCAGACCCTTTCCTGGGATAAAAAATACTAGTTAAGTTTTATCTTGTTTCCACAAGCACGCACTCACCCCAGTTCCATCAAAAGCAAGGCAGGCAGTGACATGGTTGAGTGCTGAAAGGCTGTTGCCCTGCTATTCACAGCATGACAAGTTGCAGAAAGATCTGTCACATGAACCCACTCTTGTATGATTTCCCAATGGACTGTTTTCCAGTTCTCCTCACCTCAGTGTAAATTTGGAAAAGGGCTGTAACTGAACCTGGTCAAAAAATGTTGGAAGTCTCATGGGAAGAGAAAAACCCACAAAGTTTCTTCCATTTCTTCTTTCCTTTTTTTTTTCTTTTGTTTTCTTTCTTTTTCTTTTTATTCCATAATCAGAATACAGCCCAAGATGGTCTGGATAAAATAGAAAGAGACATTGAAACGAGGGATGCCAGTCCAAGTGGTATTTCCAATCTGGAAAAAAAGACTAACAGTGCTCAAGACTCCTAGGAAAGAGGAGAATTGTATATAAGCACCATGCCAGTACTGAAGTAAATAATGAATTACTTAAACTTGGGATTATTATTTATATTGTTTTCCAGTAGCTAATACAGCAGAATCGGTCTCAATGGCTACTTGGAAAGTAGACAAAGCTCTGAAGATGATCTACAGGAAGGATTAAAAATCACTGGAGCATTTCAAAGTGTAATGGTAAAGGCTGAAATGAAGCACCTGCTGCGTGGGGCTCTCAGCTCAGCTGATGATGGTGACAAAGGCTGGTGGGCTCAGGACTAAATGTGGGAGCCTGGCTGTGCTTCACCATCATCACTACCTGTGTGGCAAGGCATTAAAGAAGAACTGCTCTGTAGGGTATGATTACAAGTGGTTCCTGCAGCAGTGTGCTCTCAGGCCACTCAGATGCTTGAGTGGAAAAAGAAGCCACTCTGTGAAAAAAGGAAGGGTTCACATCTGGGTCCCTTGACAAAAGCCAGAGCAACATCTGGTCACAGGGCTCATATGAGCACAGTGAGCCCAGAGCTCTGGGAAAAGCTTTTCCAAGAAAAAATTCATACTGGGTGAAGCCTACTGAGATCCAGCTGTGTCTCCAGATCACCTGCATTAGTTACAACATGTAAATTGGGGTTGTTCTGCTCCTGTCACTCATGAGCAACATCCATCAAAGAAGTCTGAAATTTAAATTACAGAAGTTTATCAGCTGCTTGCTGTTATCAAGTTAGTTCTTGTAATGTTTTGCTTCATATGTTAAATAAACCCACTTATTTTGAGACATGTGTTCATCTCCACACTGCACTGATCCCCTTTGGAAAGAGGACATGTCCAAAAGCCACTTCCACAGGTAATAAAAAGTGACATGTTTCGTTTCATATTAGAAAATGTAGAGTGCATCCCTGCATAAGCCAAATAATCAGGTCTGATGCCTGCAGAGTGCAAATCAGAGAGACAAGAAAGAGAATAGATCCCCTGTTCACTTCCTGGACATCTGCTGAAGCAAACAGCAACCTGTATCTGACCATTACCATAACGATGGAGACTTTGCAACCTCTCTGATGTGCCACAGGACCTTTGATGCCAATGAAGTTCAACAAAATTGGAGATTCTTAAGAGTCAGCTTTTCCTGCTAAATCTCTTGACATATCACCATTGCAAAATAGACTTCCATGGAGACAACATGGCCTCAAGTGCTTCTGAACTAAAAAACAACTCACCAGGATTCCTGCCATGTAATGGCAGACACTGGAAGCAACACAGAGAGCTCTGAAGTGGTGGCAAATGTGCAGCCAGGCCCATTTGACATCAGTGTGCTATTGTGAAAGAAAGGCAAGCAGGGAAAGGGAGCCCTTACCCTTAAAAACTTCATGGGGCAACATCACTTAATTGCAGCATGGCGCAGGGCAGAGCACCCTATTGCAGTATTTAAAAGTCACAGCTCCCCAGTGACACATTATATCTAAATTTCACAAATGGCCACTGCTAAATAAGCAGAGCTTCCTCTGCTTCCTCCCGAGGGATATCAGAGCCCTCTCATAGGAGGAATGAGCGAGACAGCAAGGAGAGAGGAGGCACAGATCAGCCTGAGAGCACCAGAAACGCCTATAGCAGCATGCCTGCAAAGCTGTGACTGCAGCTCATGCTGTACACAAACCCACTATGTTATCACAGGTACATTAACAGCTGTCCTACCTGCAGCAAAAGCACTACAGAGCTGTGTAGATCTCTTGGAAAGCACTGGGGTATATGGTTTTGAAAGCACAGGAACACATTTCCACAGGTTCAGATAGCCCAGGCTGTGGCCCTTAAGCTAGGTGCAGTTTGTAAACACTACAGGTAGCTGAGGAGGGATGCAGGGCTGTGCTAGTGCTTTTGGGTCAGTAATATGACCATCCATGGTGGAGAGGAACTGAGCCATAGGCATTTGCTGGAGGTGATGGCAACCTAGTTCTCCCCTTTGCAGGGAGTTCTGCAGAATCACTGCAGCCACTCCCTGGGGCTCTCATGTACATCCCAAGGTACTAAAAATGTGTCTGATGGCTTGTGACTACTTTTTCACCTCTCCCTCCCTCTTCCATTGCATGTTCAGGTACTTAGAGGCCCCAAAGCATTGACCTAATGCTCCAACATTAGGCCTCATGCTGTTTTGGGCATACATTTCAGCAGCCTAGGTAGGGTGCCTACATTCTTCCCTTGTTCTACCACCACATTCAGACACTTTTAAAGCAAGAAGGTGATTTGGCAATGTAAATAAAACCTCCAATTGCTACAAAAAGAGCAAAGCAACCTGCTACTACCAGCATTCCTCTCATTAACTCCATCACTGGTGGAAAGCCAAGCTATCCCTACAGTGAGCTGGTGGAGGTCAGCCAGCAAAAAAATAATGTGAAGGGGATGGGGGAGGAAGTAAAAGAGTTTCCTACTTGTTAACTCCTTTGAAAAGAAGCACACTATGAGGTTAAACCAGACACTTTCTTGGTGACAGTCAGCAAGTAAATTGGTTTTCTCTGCCATGGACACACACCCTTCAAACAATGCAGGAGCTGGTCCCTGCCCTGAAGATTAACAGTACAAACAGGAAGAAAAAAGGGAAACGTTCTTCATTCCTGTTTTACACATGAGATAAGGGCATCACCTAAATGATCTGCTCCACCTGTGCAAGTCGGAGCAGCAGGTTTGAAAATGGTGTTCCCAGGTCTAATTGCAGTGCCTTTGCCACAAAGCTTTGCTGATAATAGGCTCAGCAAGGAGACAGAAGAAAGAACGTGACATCCCTTAGCTTTCCACTTTGATTCTCCTCCCATCTGCCTGTTCCTGGAATGTGGAGACAGCACCAGCCTTCTTCTTATTTTTGAGCAGAAGAAAAATGATCACATGAACCACAAAAGCACATTCCCTCCCTGGAAGCAGTCTGCTCCCTTCTTTCCAAGAAAGTAAAACTCTGCGTGAATGTTGTATGAATCAGCCATGTGTTCATTTCAATGATAAAGCCAGCTTGGCAATTTGGCCTGAAAAAGGGGGGAGCTGAAAACCTACAGATTCCAATTGGCACGTTTTTAGACACTAACTTTCTGTGTCTAAAAGTTGGAGACCTTACATTTGGTCACATCTCACTTGGGGAAGTTTCTCTGCTTTTAAAGAAATTGCAGATTATGTCCCAAGCATTACTCAGAGGTGAACAAAATAGATTTGCTCTTTAATGACTTCACTGCATGCATGCATACACGGTGCTAATTGGTCACAATTTTGGTGTCCTCAGTGGAGCTTGATTTCCTGATTGCAGCCCCTTTACATTCCCAGCAGTTCACCATCTGCAGAGATAAATGCCATTTCAAGATGCAGAAAAGGCATAGATGGGGTTCCTACTCGTTTGACTTCCTGCTGTATTGCTAAGCCTTAAAATAAATATAATTTAGGGAAAAAACCTCTATATAAAACATTGTAGGTAGGGAGGAATAAATTCCCTAAAATAATACTTTTCCTCCTATGCTAATCCCAGGCTGAATGCTTACACTTCTCTCCACTGTCATAAGGAGAGATGTAAACAGCTTTTATCAGCCATCAGCTCTACTCTAGGGAGAGGGATTGGTAGGAGACAGAGGAGAGGAGGGGTGAAGAAGGGTGTGGAAGGGGAGAGGAGGAGACAGAAGGGGATGGAAGGGAAGGGGAGAGGCAACTTTCATGCCTTCAAGGAAAACTCATCCTCAGTGTCCAAATACAAATACCTATGAACAGAACAGCTGGAAATCCAGACTCTGGACAAGTATCACCAGCTGTGTGGATAGGTGAGTAACACAGCAAAGATCTACAGTGAGTGACACAGAATGAAATGTAAGGTAACAAGATGGGCAACATCAGTTCTAGTTGAAAACCACTCTTCCCATTCACAAACATGCAGATACACCATGTGCGATTCTCATTATATAGCATCTGCCTCTGGGAAGCTGCTGGACATGTTCTGATGGACAGGACATGAATCATCCTTTGAATGACCTCATCTCCCAGAAGTAATTTGTTTCATAAGCTCATCTTTCCCATAGTGTGTCTGGGAAATCCTGTCACACAAATTGTATCCATGGAAGCACATGAAACAGGGAAGACCCCACTGCTGTCATGGACCACCATGGTGGTGTAATGGTGGTAGTGTGACTGATAGTGTGTAACGGCTGTAAAGAGGCTTGCTCTTACTCAACAAGCCTCAAAGGTGGACGTCACCACCTGCCCTTCAGCAAGCTGCTTCTAAAAAGGCATCACACAGAGCACTTCCAACCCTCCTGTGCTCACTGATAAACTGTTATGTTTTTCTCCTTTAGTTGCTGCTTCTGCTTTTCAATACATCAAATTCACTTGAGGTCTCAATGACCACTTCACTGGAGTAGGAGGCTGCCTAGAAAACAAGGAAGAGGAAGAAAGGATGGAAGCAATAAGGATAATTTAAATTATTTAAATTCAAAATGTAGAGGGACATACAGGCAACCCAAGAACAAAGAGGAGCCACATCAAAGATGTTCTATCTAGGACTAGGGGTCTCCCCTGAAAATATGGTCACTGTGGGGATCTCTTAAAGTCCCAGATTCTTTTAACTGCAAGAGTCTGGCTCTTATCACAAGTCTGGAAAAGGTCCTGAATCTGATCACCAGGGAAACCAGGTTTTGAACAGTACAGTGATAGTTAAACTGAACATGGTTCTGGTATGTTCAGTCCAATACCAACACAACCCCTACCCTAAAAAATTCTGACAATCTAAACAGATTAGACAATGGGTAAGAAAAAATGTAAGATTTGCCTGAGGTTAATTTAGAATTCAACAGTAGCACCAGAAACCTCATTCCCGCACCAACACTTGTAGGTGGAAGGAGGGTGGCTGTACATGGCTGTTTCTAGCTGCAAGACATGGGGAGAAAAGCTTCACTGTAGTGGAGCCACCTTCAGAATTCCCCACCCCATTGTGCTGCCTGTTCTCATTAGTGAAAATGTACAGACAGATCTGTTTGGTTTAGGTCAAGGAGGAATGATGAAAGGGAACGTTTAGGAGAACAAGACGTAAGGAAAAATAAAGCCCCTATAAAACCAAAGTGGTCTGGTCTTGTAAGGAAACCAGTTAATGGAGAAAATTCCTCTGAATGTCAAGTTTTAAAGTGATAAGATTGCACAAAGGAAGACTGCTGCATTGTAAGAAGGGCTAAAGAAATGTGGGAATGGCAGGGTTGGCCAGGGGAAGAGAGCAGGAAGAGTGTTACAGAGCATCATATCCTACAGTGCCTTCAGAGAAATATAGAATAGAGTTAATTGGCAAGCATATTGCTCCTTGAAGAGCTAAGTAACAAATTCGCAAGTCCTTCATCTCCTACAGATCTCACTAAAATTTCTTGCACTAGCCTTGAATTTGCTAATTCCCAAGGAAGCTGCCCCAGGGATGTCCTGTCAGACCAGTGCTGATGAAGATGCAGCTGATGCTTCCATACATGTATCTGGAGTTGGACATACTCCGCAGTCCTAGGAATAGATCTGCTGCCAGTTAATTTGCTAATTAATGAGAGGTCAGAGGCACTTCATCTATAGCAGGGTTCTTTGCTTGAGAAACTTTGCTAGAAAACATCGCAGGTGACATCTTCATACCACAGTGTTAACAGCACCTGGCCCTATCTATTTTTTATTTTAGTCTTCTTTCTTGCCATGGTGGTCTTGGCTAGAAAGTAGTAAAATGAATAGGAATAAAACTGGGTTGGAGAACCACACTCATTTAAACAAGCTTTCCAAGCATTTAGAATAACTGAATTCACGTTTTAAATTCACCCAAGTTTTTCCAATCTTTGTGGCTTGGAACCAGCCAGCTCCTATTGGATTTGTGAGATGGGAATGACAGAGATCTTGTGAGCAAACCTGACCAATTCTAACCTGATTAGTGAAAGAGCAAAAAAGCCCTGGATCAAGATAAAATCACAAGACCTTCTGAGCTTTGCTAATCATTACCAATAGCCCTGTGACTTCCTCATTGCCGTTTGTAGGCAGCTTCATCGTGCCAAAGTAGTGTTTTTATCTACTCAGCTACAAAATCGCTAAACAGAGCCAGAGGCTTGGATTTTGACCTCAATTGCAACTAGAAAGAAGCTTAAAGAGTAAATCCCTGTAACACTGATACCCCTCACGATGACCCAGCTGTTCTGCCGATGGTGGAAAAGATCAGCAGAGTAAATGCTTAGAGAATGAGGATTTAGGTGGTCAGAGCTCACAAGTTTTCTTGGGTAAACCTCAGCCCTGGGCTGTAGTTTTGAAGTTAAGAGGTCGCCACCTGAACTTCTAACTGTGGGAAACCCTGTAGTGATGCCCTGTATCGGTGGTTGTGATGCTAAGCCTAACACTGTCTACTGAGAAACCTGGTGTCAACACAGAAGAGGACATGAAGAAGATTAAGAACATGAGACATTGTGCACAAATTACTGAATGACCAAGACTCCTGATAAGAGACAGGAAGTAAAGCTCCCTGGGGCTCTCCAGGTAAATAAACCAACCTTGTTTAACACTGCTTACATGTTTTATCCATCTGTCACTTCTTGGAAAAGGTGTTCAAAGCATGTCCAGCATACAGTTAGATCACTGAAGAGCTCTGACAGTGGTGGGGCTTAGCCTGTCCAGGGGAGACTGCAGGTGGGTCTGCTGTGTCCCTTCACAGCAAAATCATAGATCATCTGGTCCAATCTGTCTTGGCACAGTACGATCTAGACTAGGTGGCCCAGCACCCTGTTCAGCTAAATCAAGTGTCCAAAAACTGACGAACACACAGTTTGGGGTTAAAGAGGTTCATTATTAAGGTTGTGTTTTACTTCTGCAGTCTGGGGCTAAGACAGTTCCTTTGGAAGGTTTTTTGGTCTTTACACTTTCAGGTGCGCGTTGCTCCAAGCCTGTATGTGCTTTTGGGCATTTCTTTCCAAGCAGGCATGAGCAAGGCAGCAGAACCGTTTAGCACCAGTGTGCTTCCCGGTGGAGTCCCAGCGGGGAGTGTTTCCCCCTTTCAAAGCCTTCAATTCTCGTGGAAGGGAAACACAGCCAGTGGGATGTGCTGAGCTGCTATACTGGGGTTTATGTTAGTGTATGGCTCGTTTCTCCCGGAAATAGCAAAATCTTTCCTGTGCAAGGAACAAGGAGCTTGGCGCCTCATGCGCATATACATTGTTATGTGTTTAAATGGAAGAAAGACTTGGGAGGCACTTGAAATGACAAAACAAAGTAGGAGAGGGGACAGGAATCACACAGTTCAAAGCTGGTTTTCCACAGATTGCTATGTGGTGTTTAACTTTTTATATTTGTTTTTAATTTCTGTTGCTTTTAATTTCACATTTTTTCTCTCTCTCTCTGTATATACGTGCATACTCTAGGAGGGGAAAAATCCCTCTTTTTGGTTGGTTGTTTGTGTGTGTGTGTGTGTGTGCGCGCGTGTGTTTGAGAGGAAATAAACTTCCTGAGTGCCCGAATGGAAAAATCAATTATTTATTCTTTATGACAAATTCTTTAAAGAGCTATAGACACAGAAAGATGACCTTAAACTATTACCTACCTACTATACCTCCTGTCTGCCTTTCTACCTCCCCCTCTTCACCTCCCAAATGGAAGAAAATATCTATCCAAAATCAGAGGAGATGGCATCTGGGAACGACAGACAACCCTGAGACATGAGCACAGCCTGCAGCCTCCCTGCACCCCGCCTGGCTGTGTAGGTCCAGCACCCGTGACTTCCACAGCCTCTCCGAAATCCTCCCGGCCGGTCCCAGCGCTGCAGCCCAGAGAGCGGCTGGAGCACGGGATGGAGCAGGAAGCCTAAAAACTTGGGTCTGCAGAGAGACCTCTAGTGTTTTTCTTTCTCCATGTCCTGGCAGAGTTCCTCCAAAGTACAAATACACACAGAGCTCCCATTGTTTGCAGCCCTTCACAAGCCCACTGATCCTAATATGGAATTCAGCAGGAAACCCATGATTTCCTGACACACAGCAAGCTGGAGAAAGAAAGGAAAAACTCCATTAAAAACCTCCAGGCTCTCCTCCATGTTAGAAATGAAATGGAAAATGGAGTGGATTTAACAGGAATCCCTGATTCCTGCAGCCAAGCTGGAGGAAGGGAAACGCGAATCAAAGCTGCAGGCTGCTGATATTTTTTAAGTCGCAATAAATACTGAGAACTCCCAAGCAGGATGAAGATTTCCTGACTCTGACGAGTAAGAAGGGACAGATAGCTTTTTAATGATATTTCTCTCTGTATATTTAATTTATTCACCTCGATGATTCTCTTTACTGATCTGGTAATTGTTAGAAGTGGCTGTGACAGCCTGGAAACATTAGTATGATTTCCTGAGTTTGAGATTTGCTGCCCCCCCCCCCCCCCCCATCAAACTCAGGAAAAGTCAATACAATCGCACTTCATTTTTCCTTCATGTGCACTTGGAAGTCCTGGGAGAAGCAAGAGCAGCGGCAGCAGCAGCAACAGCAAGAATGAACTGCAAGGAAAATGACAACTGCACTGACGGGAGCAGCAATAACGCGAAGAAGATGTTAAAATGTGTGGTGGTTGGGGATGGTGCAGTTGGGAAAACCTGTTTGCTGATGAGTTATGCCAATGATGCCTTCCCAGAGGAGTATGTCCCCACTGTGTTTGACCACTATGCAGGTAAGAAAGCATTTTAAAAGAAGTTTAATTGAGGACTGCAGCAGAGCCAGGTGTGAGGTAAAGGAATCTCCAGGAGAGGAGAGGATTGTTCAAAGGGGGTGCATGGGTTACTTCTTGTCCAAGAATGTGATTCAGGCCTGGGTGGTAGCCAGGCAGCTTAGATGGCAGCTTATATATTTGGGGCAATGCAGGATTTATTCAGAGAATTTATTTGTTTGTTTCCAATTTTTATTTTAGTTTTGGTGAATAACCAGTGTTAGGGATGCAGTCAAATCCCCTGGGTTTTTGGGACAACAAATACAATTCTGCCTCCCTCAATTTTTATTCTTGGTTTGCTTCTGAAATTCTGAAGTTATGAACTTTGCAGGCTGCAGTTATAAAGACTACATGTATATACACATAAAAATATGTGCTATTGGTGATCTTGTGCCTCATGGCAAAAGATGCATAGATTGCAATATTTATATCCTATTTAAGCAGTAATCTTTGAGAATATATCCTATTTAAGCAGTAATCTTTGAGAAAACCAGCATAGTCTCTTTCTGTGCTGTCAGAGTGTAACTCCTTTCAGAGACATTTGTTATTCCATCTATAAATAGATTTTAATGCTATAACTTGATTGTAGGGAAAGCAGAAGTGGTGATTGGTTTGAGTACTTTCTTGTGAGGGAATTTGTAAGTATAAGAAAAAATACGAACATAATCAAGATCATCAATGGTGTTCACTGCATCGCTGTGTAAAACAGACTCAGATTTAAGTACAATATTCACAGGCTCTTTCTGTAGCAATTACTTGCATTACCCAGCTGTGTCCAAAGTTATCATGCAGCTGGTGTGCTAGGCTAAAACTGTTGCTCAAACTTCTGCTTAAATTTTCCTATCCCAGATTCTGCTGGTTTTCTTCTCTCACTGCTCCTTTGGCTTACAGTTGTTGTTTATGAGATCCCTGAAGAACAGATTCTAGAAGCACTGCAAAACTCATTGCTTATCTTGCAGCAACAGTTGGAGTTTCCCTCATTCTCTCCCCACCTCCTTAAAAACTGAATTTTCATGCCATGGCTTATCATAGATTTGGTATTCTGTAATGGGAAAATCTCTGCTTTCATTCTGGCTTCATGTCAGGTTTAGCAGATGAACTGGCCAAACAAGCAAGCTGTGTAATCGCAGAATCTGATCCATGGAAATGTGAAGTCCTGTTCCTCCACAAGAGTGGGCAGCATCACTTCTAATGCAAGCAACACTTTCTTCCCTCTACCCTTCCCACCAGATAAACAACCATTTAAAAAACAAAACAAAACAAACCAAACAAAAAAAAAAAAGAACCTTTACCCAAACAAGATATAGGAAAGCATATTGCATGTTCTAAACACACACTTGCATGAGCCAAAAACCCTAAGGAAGCCTGGCTGTGCAAATCTATGACTTATAGTGCAACAGCACCCATTTTCCTGTGAAACACTGAGTTCTCTTATCCCTCACAGCTCCGCTTCCCAGCTATATACCAGTTGCAGCCCTTCTCTCTCTCTGTGCCCTGCAAGTACCTCTGTGTGCAATAGCTGGTGCCAGACCACCTATGCATCAGCCTGTGGCTGGGTGGTTTTGGTGTGAGTGCTGGGGCACATGTGTCCATGGAGCTGTGCACACACACAGGTGCTGATGCAAGACAGGCAGGCTGGCACTCGGCGGAGGCACTACGCTGAGTTTCTCTTCCCTACCCAACTGCAGGTGACTTGCAAGGGCTTGCTTCAATTTCTTTCCCTCTCTGCCAGAAGTAGTAGAAATTGCCAGTGGGCTCAAAAGTTACTGACAGAGAGGAGGGCTGAGAGAAGGATGGGAAGATGAAGAATGTCACTGTGTAATCCTTATTTCCTCAGGGTATCAGGTAAAAGCAGCATAAATGCAGTTTGAAATCAAGCTACATTTTCAGGGTTTGAAGAGTTAGACATCTAAAATATCTCCAGCTATTTACAGCACATAAATATAAACTAAGAATGCTTTCAATGACAAAGTTCAGAAAGATAAGGGAAAAATATAGCTTCGTATATTAACATGTTATTCTAAGAAAAAACCTATTCAGCGTCAGTGGTCAAAACTAGTACTGATCAAAGATGTAATTTCAGGGTTTTGAGAAATCCCATCATTTATTAAACCAATTTCACTACAAAACTGCACATAGAATTGAGCAGTGGAAATTACTTCTGGAGCAGAAAAAGTCCCACTCATAAAACATAAAAATATTACATGGCATAAAACATAACATAATTTAAAATACTGTGGGTATTGAGAGAGTAAAGAGATCGCTTGGGGCAACCTTACTGCTGAGATTACAGACTTCAGGATATTCTGTAGCAGCAGCCCATTCAGCCATGGCAGCCCATAGTCGAGAGGAAAGGTAGTACAGTAGTACCATGGGCACAGCGGTACCATGGGCACAGCAGTACCATGGGCATGGTGATACCACAGGCACCATGGCATGGAGGGAGCCTTCATACATAGGCAGATCCTGCAGGGTGCTTGAGGCTCTGTAAAATCACATTTGAATTTACCCCAGGGAACCAGTTTTTCTGCCCCTGCCCTTGCCTCTGCCAAATCCAACTGTTTCAACTTTTCCAAACAAGCTGAAACCGTTTGATTCTGGTCTTCCATGCTGGAAATGCTCAAAAGCAATTAATTGCTACAGATTTTTGTGAAGTTGCACTTTCCATTGAAGGTTTTTCACCCACACGTTGTTACCAGCAGTGGTGCGTTAGCAAGCTCTCCCTCTTGCCTCACCAGATCACAGCCTGGTTGTGAGTCCCAGGGCATTTACCAATTTCCTTCTTTCTAATGGAAAAAGTAGGGAGAGGGGAAAGCATTAAAAATTGAGGACTCCAGTAGTGATCTCAGAGTAGTTTCTCACTGACACAACTCCAGCAACTCGGGGGAGACAGTGATACTATCCAGCCCAGCATTGGGAAAAGCTCCAGATGCACCACTGCTGTGGCCAAGGCATTAACCATTCATGGCCCTGCAGCTACATGTACTTGCCCTGCTGTGTTGCATCTTTTTAGCTCCTTCCCTGGGCAGGTTTCCATGGGACAGGTGAAGCAGGTGAACATACTGACAAGGGTGGCCAAGAGGAAGCAACCAGCATTTCAAAGGGCTGAGCTCCAACAGTATTAGACCTGTACAGTACTTATTCAGTACCTTTCACATAAAAGGGTTTGAAAAAAACTACAAAATTTGGGCCCAACATCCCTGTAAGAAATCAAAGGCAGTAGATGGATTTCACCTAAGGAATGAGCAGGCTTCCTGCAGACAACTCATGCAACATTTACAACTCAGATATGGTGATGTCTGGGAAGAAAAGCTGTTCGTGTTTCACCATGCATGCAGCTGCACTGTACCAAAGTCCAAACCAGTTATTAGCTCCACACTAGTAATATTCTGCCACAGATTCCACCCACAGTCCACAAAAGCAAATTTGTTCGGGGCCTGTTGCCAGGCTTGGGATGTGATGGATGTAGAGTAGGGTCAGAGGCAATGCCAGACAGATGGGAAAGGCGAATTTGTTATTTGGATACAAAAATGGTTTATTTTGTTGGATGTATGGAAGTTTACAAGTTTGGTTACCTATCAAGGCATTTTGAAGAGGTTTTTCTAGAGATCAGAGCCCTGGGGTTCCCTCACATTTGGTGAATTTCCAAAGGTCCACACTGAAAGGGTTTAACCACGAAGTAAATGCTATTTCTATGGCAGGCAAACCAAAGTGCTATCCTAGTGACAAACAGGATATTACTGGCAATAACTGTAACAATAGAGGCCGTTTGGATAGTGAGTAGATGCTTTAACATGCTGGTTCCATTCTGTCTTTCGAACATCAGATGCCGATTTTCCATGAGCAAAGGTCTCTCAGTCGGGGTGACTTGTATTGTGTCTAGCTATGTGAGGTTATAAATGTTTAATTATGGCTGAGGTTGTACCAACAAAATAATTCAATTCAACTAGCAAAGTTGGTTTAATAATACCAAAATTAACTGGCTTGCTCTGTGAAATGAAGAAGTGAGATGTGTGTTGTTACTTAGGCAGCCACCAAGCCTCCCATTTGGTATTCATGAACCCTAAAACCCCAGCAATTTTTAGCATGAAATTTATTCCTCCATAAGTTTATATTCCTCCATAAGTTTATATTCAGGCTTCCCAAAGAGTCGGTCAATGCCCCAAGCCTGTCGGTGTTTAAGAAGGAATTGAACAATGGCCTAAACAAGATGCTTTAACTTGGTCAGCTTCAAAGTAGTCAGGCAATTGGACCGGATGATCACTGTAGGTCCCTTCCAACTCAAATTATTCTGTTCTATTCATAAAGTAGATATAGAATAAATATGAACCTCCCTCCCCTCATATGTCGGGACAAACTGGTGAGCATTTATATAGTGAACCCATTTGAAAAAAATTAGCAGTGGCATGTGATCAGCTAATGAATAGCATACAGAATAGTTCAGCCATGACTGAAGCTCTGTAAATTAAAAGCAATATAGAAGAAGACAGATGTTAATTACTGTTAGCAGACATGGGTTTTGTTCTTTAATGATGATTCAATCTAATTTGTCTGACTTTGCACTGAAGTGGGCCAGGGTGCTCACTGGTCTCTCATAGTAGTGATCACAGCCTTACTAGTCAGGCAAGCCATGCAAGAAAAGAGTCTTTTTCTCTGGCATTTTTATCAGAATAGGAGCAGTACTACTACTCTTGCCCATAGCAGTCACTTGTGCCTGTGCAGATCCATAAATACATTAAACCCTGCCTGTATGCCACAGCACTGACTCAAATCTGTGTTCCTTACATCCGCGCATGAAAAAGAGCAGTTGGAAGTGTGCTGTTATTGATCATGGCGCTGTCAGTGGCTGGCCACTCTCAGTCCTGGGGCAGGCAGGAGCACCCAAGGGAGACAGCTCATGCATTGAAAAGCTTTGCCCTGCACCTTCTCCCCATGTGGGAGGAAACACTAACCAAGACATTGCA